AGAGAGAGAGAGAGAGAGAGAGAGAGAGAGAGAGAGAGAGAGAGAGATTTCTTAACTAAGACTTAATAACAACCAAATAATTATGTACGCATTTTACCTGAAAGACACCTGGTGACAGACAGGAACAAAATTAGTCTCCAAGAGAAAGCCATGCTTGGTCACTGGACTCTTCTGGATCCCAGAGTGGTGATTACCACTGATGTTTCCTCATTGACAAAAATCCTGGTGAGGTAGATACAGGTTTCAGAAACAGAGAAAGCCCCCTTCCCCTGCAAAAATCTCATATTATTACACATAACTTTAAGTGCACAGGTTGCATACATAGAGTATTTCTATTGTCTTAGTTATTTTTTTTTTTACTTCTGTGAAAAAAATACCATGACAAAAAGCAACATGAGGGAAAGGATTTATTTTGTCTTATAAATCACATCTTATAACCTCATCATCTGGGAAAATCAGGGCAGAAACTCAGGACAGACACCTGGAGGCAGGAGCTAATGCAGAAGCAATGGGGGAATGCCATTTTCTGACTTGCTCCATGGCTTGGCCCAACCTCTTTCTTATAACCTCCTGAACAGTCTGCCCACGGTGACACTGGCCACAGTGAACTGGTTTCTCACATATCAACCATCAGTCAAGAAAATGGACCACAGACTTGCACACAGGCCTATTTGGTAGGGAATTTTCTCAACTGAGGTTCCCAATTTCATAATGACTCCAGTTTATGTCATGGTGACATAAAAGTAGCCAGCATACCTAGTGGTGATATTAAAATAAAGTCTGCTCCCATTCAGTTAATGTGCAACATGGAACTTCAGACAATAGATAAACTATCCGTATTTGCTTCTGTTGAATATTCTCTTGCAGACCATAAAACCATTGGAGTCTCAAAGAGATGAGTTTTCCTCACAGAGCATGTATAATTATTTATTACACTAGACAAATTATTTGACTTGAGACACAGGAGTGAAGTACAGGTTTCATTAATGTACACTCCTGTTCTAGAAAGAAACTAAAGATCAGTTAGCCAAGAGATTTTACACACCATGCCTGGAGCTCATGGAAACCTCCACAGGGGACAGTCCCATTTAATTATTAATATCAACTGCCTTTGTTGATAACTCTAGTGATTATCTGTAGTGTGTTACAGTTCCCTCCTTCGATGTTTAATATCTCAAAGCATCTTTTGCTAGCCAGAACCTGAGGGAAATAAGAATTTTCATGAATATTTAATATTTTTAGTAATGCTATTTTTATAACAATAAGCAGAATAGTACATTGATACCTCTCGGTTTCTGTTTCTGCCCTGAAAGTAAGAATAAACTTGAAAAGAAGGTAAAGCCCTAATGTCAAACATTCTGCAAAACTTGACCAGTATGCCTTGCACAGTCTTATTTTATACTAAGCTTCAAATTTTAAGTGTCAGCTATGATTTTTCTGGCCAAGTCTCCATTAGGTTAAGAGGCGGTTACATAGGGCTCTGATGGTTTATACGTAATTGTTTTCTTGATGTAGGTTTTCATTATGGACTTTGAGTTTGTGGTTGTCTCTGTCTTTTGGGAAATATCTTCAAATATAGACATGCATCTCCCCCTAACAAGGTTATAATTTAATAGAGAGAAATGAAAGAATAGAATCTCTTTTTAATTTTCTCTCTGAAACAGTTAATTTTTATTTTACTTATATTTTGAAGTCCAATCTTAATTAGGAATCAAAATAGGAAGAAAGCTGAATGTGAATAATCATGGACTGATTTATACCTGACTTCAAAGATAAAAGGAACTTTCCATCATCTTTTTACGAGTAAATATCATAAATCAAAAAAAAGGTTAAGTACACATTAAAGAAGACATAGGTAATTTTTAACATTTAAAACCATTTTATTGTTTTATTACTATTTAAATAATAGATAATATTGTTTTCAAAAAAGAAAGAAAACTTAATAGTCCATAATGATGGGAGAATAGAATGGAAATCACTGGAATTCCAACAATTATTCAGGAAGATTTTACTCTTGAGTTGTCACACTTATTTCATGATATGATTGACTTTCTTTTTTTGAGAAGGTGACCAGTTTTGCTGAATTGATTTCAGAAATTCCAGGTCCTCAAATTGCTCATATCACTGTTCTAACATCCTCTATTTTTTTTACTATACATTTTCAACAAATACAAATAGTACTTCAGGATCTACAGGCTGCCCCTTGGGAATGTCCATGGGAAACCCTTCACTAACATGTCTACACACAACGCATAAAAGGAAAAACATTTAAAAACCAAAATAGCAGGAACTCTGTGAAGCTCATAGTGTTGTATATAAAGTTTTATTACACCCCTTTTCCTATCAAATGTGAATTTTGATACACTGAATTGTATGACAAAAGAATACATTTTACAATAAAGGGTCTTTTCTTCTAATAAAGTGTGTGTGTGTGTGTGCTCATTATGAAGGAGCAATATTTGATTCATGGGACTAAAAAACATCAAAATCATAGTTCTTTAAAATGCATTTCTTAAGAGATATGTAACTTGACTCCTTTCTATTTTCTTTTCTTGATTATGCTTTCTTTGTGTTTGATGAAAGTTAAAGGTGTAATAAACTAAGGTTCTAAAAGTGTAAAGCATTTACAAGATTTTTCTTAAAAATAATTATCTTATAGCTTAAACTCCCCTGAGCAAACTTAGAAAAACAAAATAATTTATCACAAATATATTAAGTCTATGCTAGGTGTCTAATTAAATTATCATCACTGAATCCATACTCCGGAAGCTAATGGGAAGACTGCATTTAGAAATGCCCTCTCAGTGATGTACAGTCAGTACGTGCTGTGCAGTGAGAGACAGGAAAGCCACATTTACTAATTTGAAAACATTTGAACAAGTCATGCTTTTATGAGGATGTGTTGTATTTTTCAGCAACAAGCAGCCTGCACACCTGTTATGTTTAAAACCTAGTAGCTGCAAAGCCGCTTCTTTCATTAGCCCTTGGATTATTACAAACCTTTGCAAGTGAAATCACGTACCAGTTTCAGTCATTACCCAGAAAGAATGAATCATAGTGAGGTTGACTACATAGACAGAGACTTAAAACATCAAACAATATGGCACAATATCTAGGAAGAAGAAGCTGCCATGGGTTTAGTGAGCCATAAATGATGTGATAAAATATTACCGTGTAACTGCAAGTCACTCTTGCTCCTAAAGATACATGTGGCAAGCTGTTTTTAGGTGGTCTAGGTACAAAGAGGGATAGAGATTGGAACCTAAGGAGGGTGGTACAGAGAGGAATAAGTGGAGGGGGACACACAGACATACATACAAAAAAGGGGCGGGTGAGGGAGGTAGGGAGGAAAAAAGGGAGGGAGACTTGCTCAGATGTCATAGTCAGGATCCTGTCACTAACAGATTGCTTCCAGCCACACCTCTTTTCCTTCCTCCCCCCACCCTTTCTCCCCACCTCCAGCACTAGTTCTATAGGTTATAGCTCAAGATATTTCAGGCTGTATCATAGCTCTGGTTTTGTGTTTTATTCTTAGGATGAAATATAAAATTGTTATATAGTTTCATGGCCATAGACAGTCTGGCTGCTGTCTCACCTTCTGACTTGATTTTACAGTATCCTAAGCTCCCCCACCTTCCCACACTCGGGCTTTTGCAGCAGTTTGTGTCCTCTCTGGACTCTTTCATTACTATTTTCAGCTTTAACTTGTTCCTTCCAGAAGCCTCCTTTGCTTTCCTTAAAACAGTAAAGTATCTTCTCTTTACCTTATTGTTTCTCCACTTGCCTGATTTTTTGCAGTTAATGCCTAAAGTTGCTTTGGTATTTACTCAGTCTTACCTTCCTACTTGAATATCATATTGATAATAGCAAATATATTTGTCGTGTTCATCTTTATAGACCTAGCACCTAGAAGAGTAATAGGCATGTAGAGAAAACTCAATTAATGCTTTTAGATAATAATTATTGAATGAATTGTAGGCTTTAGTAAGATAAACATTTGGAAGGGGAATATGAAAATTTAAATGAGTTTTATATTTATGCAGTAACACATGTTGAGCAATTTAGTTTATCTGGTAAGTTTCTTACTGATATAAATAATTTATTTTGGTTCAGAGAGCTAGTTAAGACTGGGTAGACCTTATCTTACCCCACACCATAGTCCACAACAACAGGAACATTTGAGAGATGCTCACCTGACAGTGCAGCTGCTACAAAATGAAAAGCCAGGATGTATGCTTGTCTTCACCTGTGTATGATATATATATATCCTGTGAGGCCCAAGTAACAATTTCATAAGTGGACAGGCTTTCACACATAGCCATACTGAGTTATGACACTGCATATCTCAGCGAGAAAATGGCTATTGTACGTCATGAGGACATGTTTGGTGATGTAACTAACAGTGTTTACATATTTGTGGATATTCTTAATCCTGGGATTTTTTTAGAGTGTTGCTAAGCATAGTGAACATTTTTCTGTTATTTCTTTTCAATGCAACAGTCTGTCCTTGTGGAAACAAGTTCAGCAAGGGCTCAAGAAATGGTGTTAGTTTTCTGAGACTTGATGTAACATTTATAATTTAAAACTCATGGCTATTTCTTGCTCAATATTACACATAATGGAGGCAGTTTGGAAATTGATTCCAAAAATTTTCCATGATTTTTACTATCTGATGGCTGACATCACAGCAGTGGCAAAACAATGGCTCACTGCAAAGGCATCTTTAACCTCTGACACTGTGTTGGGATCCCGATTTCAGCTGTGTGTTCTCCTGATGTCAGGTTTCCATTTCTAGAAACTTGTGAACTGGACATAGTATTTAACTATATTCTTGAGGTATTATAAGAAATGATATTAACATTTTAAAATGCCTTAGTGAACTAGTTAAGAGAGAGACAAAACCCAGCTCTTCAGACAATGGCCAAACAGAACCGTAGGCAACACTCCATGATAGGACATCTTCCAAATCTTGGCTAACTTTAGATTGCTATCAATGGCTGCCCTGAGACAAGAGCTTAAAACCTATAAACCACATGGGATTTTATAGGAGATTTTAAGTAGGAGAACCTAACAGTACAGGATACAAAAGGAGTTATTTCTCCAGAGAGCCGCTTTCTAGGGACAGTAGAATAAAAATGTCTGTCATAAACCATTGGTTTGAATGGAAAAAGAAGCAAATAAAAACTCTTACAGGACAAAACCTACAGTCAATATAAAAATTG